CTGAAGAAAGGTGAGCAACAGTGAAGCAAGCACAGAGGGATCCGTTACTGTCTGTGTGTGTGCGCGCGGATGAGCCAGACTGAGCTCCCAGCTGCAGAGTTTTGTGTGTAGGGAGGGGCGGGCGCTCTGTGTGACTGGACAATCACAGAGCGTGAAGACAGTCAGTTACTTAATGAGGATTTTCTTTCAGCACGATGACAGATATTTACGAGTTGTACTCGTTTCATGCTCGTATTCGTCAAAAATGCTTAATCTGTACCGGATACTCGTCTGAAATGAGTATCCGGCTCATCTCTAGCTGTAACCACCCTGCCCTGCCTCCTCCTCCTTGCTGCCTGCCGGCTGTGATCACAAGCAACAACAGAGTAGTTCCCGCTGCTTCTTCAGGAAAACAGCGCAAAAATAAATAAATACAATTTGGGATCTTGTTGGCGTGGCGCTGGGATTTCAGCCGGCTACGCCTATAGGTTGGTTTATGCTTGACGCGTCAGTGAGGTTCGCGCTGCAAAATTTCTTCATTTTAACAACCACTCCCCTCCATCTGGCCTCCGCACGGCCCAAACTTTCCGCACCACGCACTTAGTAAGTTTCCAACCACGCGGACGGTCGAACACGGAAAAACATGGCAGACTGGCAAGAACTAGTATGACAGAGGTTCGTAAATACAGACATTTGTATGATTCAGCTCTCAAAGATCACCGTGATCAACATGTTATTAATAATTCTTGGAGAGAAATAGCTCGCACTGTCGGAAAAGACGAGGACGCTGTTAAAAAAATACTGGAAAAACATGAGGGATGTGATATGTGGTGTAGTGTTGGATGCAAGCCGTAGAGCTCCATGCTGCCCCCTACAGTTTGGGAGAATATTGGCTCACCGCAGAGACAAGCCGCATGAACCATAAACGCTGCGAGTTGTGAAGCAGGTTCCATCCGCCAGCCGCATCACCAAACGGAAAGTAAATGCGTCAAGCATAAACCAAGCTTATGTCTGAGGGAGCCTTAGGTGGTATATATGTGGTCAGACAGTGGCGAAAATGTGGCGCAATCATGTCCTTTTTATAAAAGATTAAACGATGGTGACATAGAAGGGGTCTAGGGGCGGTCTCTGCGATGTCGTGAACTTCCGTTTATCTTGGACATAACTTGCTTTCATTGCAACTGAAGACACGATCATCAAGTTTTTTTAACAGGCAGCTCCTAAAGGCGTCTGTCCCCATCAGTCCCTGTGCAGTCTCTGGTGATCTGAGCTTCAGCTCTAACAGAGAGATGCTGCCACCTCAGCTGATTTTGTTTAAAAGACTAAACTTATTGCCCGTGTTTACTTTCATTTTCAATATATTTGCCGGTCGGAGCTCTGCATTAACTCCCCACGTCATCATGACACCTCCCTCTGTTGCGCCATGGTGCAAAAGCCGTTTATTAGACAGACCGTAACAGTAACTGACCATTAATATGGAAGTTTTAGCTTTCAGAACAATCGTTTTCAAGCCAATTAGAAAGGAAAAAAAAGGTTCAATGAATAAATATATTTGAGTTGCACCTTCAACTGTCAACGGATCCTCGAACCCATGATCGGTGCATTTTTCCTGACCAGCCAAGTGTTGTTGCATGTCTCTTTAAGAGGCTCAGGTGTTATTTACATCCCACATTTGGCTCTTTTATGATCATCTAATTAGTTATTAAATCCATCTGATGACCAGCCCTTTGGAGTGACTCAGATAAAGAGAACTGCTTTTTACCGCTGAAGAAACGCCACACCACATAAAATAGCCTCACACTTCAAAAGCAGATGCCTTCATACAACACCAAATAAAAAGGTACCTTTGATCACATGAAAAGCGTCTAATAATGCTGTAAAAACAGATGTCTGATGATTGTTGGCCATTTTTGTCACATATTTACAACCCTTGAATAAGAAGACGATCCAACACTGTTTTTTCTGATTATCTTTGAAGCAGAAATGATGGTTTTGCTGCAAGTGTTTGGCTCTCCTGACCCCACCAGCATTTCAGTACAGCCAGCTTTTCATTCTCTCTCACAACCCAGCCACAGTGGCCTCTTTGAGCATCCACAGCCCACAGCAAAACCCACACAACCATCAAGACTGCCAACATCACACAAAGACACCATGTTACTACAGCCCACAGAGAGGGAACTCAGGAAAAATGTAAGTTACAAAGGCTATTCTCAAGCTGGGTGCATTTTTGCTTGCTTGTGCTTAGATGCTTTCATTCATCCAATCAAAGCAACGGGGATGGGTTTAACACAAATTAGTGATACAGACGAGGGCCTTATTTCTATTTTCTCCTTCAAAGAGCTGAGGGGCCGAGCACAAGACCTGCCAGGGTGACGGAGTGTCCGGTGGTGAATCAGCAGATTGCAAGTTGTGCAATCACTCACACGAGCACACAGATTAACCACACACAGAGAGGGGTGCTCCTCTCAAAAAACTTTATAATTAATAAATAAAATGCAGAACCAGTGTCTCTCTCTCACACACACACACACACACACACACCCTTTCAGAACGATTTTCTCCTCAGAATGGGATCCAAACACTCTGGATGTGTTTTAGGGCGGCCCAGGTTATCTGGATGGTTCACAACAACAGATAGAGAATGTACGTAACAGGAATGTAATCTTCCATCTCACACAGCTATCTATCTGCTTGTTATAAAATCAATTGTTAACAAAGTCTTCTGAGCGATCCCAGAGATAAAAATTAAAGTGGATGTCTGCAGATCCTGGACATTGTGTTTGAGCCCCCTGCTGTAGAACCTGGTGATGTTAACAGGTTTCTGAGCTCCTCAGTGACATGAGAGGCCCGACGGCCATCTGGACCCGACCCTCTGCACATCCCAGGGCTCGTTATGGTCACACAGCAACTCGTCTCAGAACCAGACTAACAATGAACGTGTTCTCAGGGCTCAATGGAGCCAACACGCACATTGGCAAAGGGTGTGTGTGTGTGTGTGTGTGTGTGTGTGTGTGTGTGTGTGTGTTTTTATAACCCAATCCATTGAATTCAAGCAGCAAAGAGCAAAAAAATATGCATTTTTAACCACACACAGCACTCAAGTGTTTTGGTGGGTTCCTGCATGATTTTTGATCTCAGATAAAAACATCCTAATCTGATTCTCAAAAATCTAACTCAGGACTAAACTGAGCGATGCAACGGATTCAGAATGTTGTTTTATTCAACATGAAATTAGAAGACGAAATGAATCTGTGTGCTGCTAAAGATCTGTTTTGAGAGAAGCTGGACGCACATCAGTATCTGGTCACAGCAGCTCAGTCCACAACAGTGGAAACAGTGTCTGTCAGGAGAGCAAATAGAAACTTCTGTGCAACAAATTATAAAACATTTCACTGTAACAATTCACAAATGTGTTTTTCGTAGAGGACAAGGCTGACAAGTTGAAAAAGTTGTAGGTAAAAGTTTGACTAAAAAGGAAAAACTCCAACTCTTCAGTTTCACCAAAGTTAATGTGTGCGTCTACATCCAGATGTTGTAAGCTTTACTTCCTGTTCCAAAGTAAAACAGCTGGTCAAAGTAAATAAACATGAATTTAGTTCATAACGCCATCTCACATGTGAGCGAGGAGGAGACAACCGCTTCCGACAACAAACCCTGCGTGAGCGCACGTGAAGGCAGCAGCAGCCCGAACTCCATTTAACATTTCACCGTTTTACACTTGGCATTCGGCTAATCACCGACTTAGAAACTCTATCTGAATTTTCTAGAATCATTTAGCCATAAGGCGTCATTCGGCGCACGTAAACAACACTACGTCGTTTTATTTCATTTATCTCAACTTTTGTCCAGTTTCTGCAGCTTTCAGCTAATCCCAGATGTGCTGCGAGCTAACGCCACTAACAGATTAACAGTAGAACCATAAGCCTGGCTCCGCGTCACGTTGGACAGCTGAAAAGTGGCAACAAGTGAGACGTACCAGAGTTTGTTCATACTGCAGCGCCCGCTGGTCGGACCCGTCCACCCCTGCCATGGCTCTGCCGCGGCTGGATGGGAAGTTTTCGCTTCGGAAGTCGGAGGAATCCCGGCTGCAGCGACGTGTCCGAGCGCTGGGTGCGTCTACAGCATGGGACCGACTCAGGTGTCTGTACAGGAGTTCACTAAAGGAACTCTAAACTCACAAAGTGTCCCGCTTACAGTCAAATCCGTCATTTTATACACGGAGTAAGAAACACAACCGAGGCGGGACTTTGGTTTGAAGAGGAACTGACCCTCCCACAGTGTCAATCATCCAGAAAACCAACTGTTCGTCTAATAGAATAATCTCGCGTCTTTGACCAAGTCACTGCTTTGCAAGTCACAAGTAAGTCACAAGTCTCGAGTCAAGTCCAAGTCAAAGACAACCAAGTCCAGGTCAAGTCCAAAGTCAATGATGTGGAAGTCCAAGTCCTTAACTTTGAATTTTCAAGTCACATTCAAGTCATCTGTCCAAGTGCAATTTAATGACAATGATAATGAATAAATTCCGGAAATAAAGCTTCTTAAAGCTTCATTTATTTGCTCCAACAAGCAGAAAGTGCAACTGAAACTGATTTTAAACAAAGTGCTGCTGCATTTAGCAGAACAAGATCAAACCCAGAACCAAGAATGATTTATGATTTTTGTCCATGTCGGGTCACTTTTGTGCTTAAATATCAAATATGCTCAAGTCATCATCAAGTCAACAGATGCAAGTCGATCCAAGTCGCAATTCATTGGCAATCAAGTCCGAGTCAAGTCGTAGGTCTTTATAGATTTTATCAAGCCAAGTCAGAAGTCATTAAAATAATGACTCGAGTCCAAGTCATGTGACTCGAGTCCACATCTCTGATTATTACATCCTACAGCTGTCTTCACAAACACTAAATAGATTTAGGTGATGTGTGTTAGAGTTGGAAAGGTGTGGAGACCACATCAGACCCCCTGAATCTGATGCCTGGATGGTTTTTTTGGTAAATGTGAGTTTATTAAGAGCAACAACATCAGGATCTGGGTCACTTTCTTCTGTTGTTGTATTTAGTCCAGTCTTGTGAACGGTGCTCACAAAGATGCTTTTATTTAAAGGAAATTAGAATAAAAAGAACACACATTGGATATCCCTGGTGAGGCACGAGATCCCAGTAAGAGGTTGGAGTAGGGCTGTGCAATAATTTCTTTCCAGACCCTTTGCTTCCTGGACGCCTCCCCAGTGAGGTTTTCCAGGCACGTCTAAACCGGAGGAGACCTAAAGAAAGACCCAGGACAGCTGGAGGGACTATTGCCTGGCCAGGGGGCTTGGGAGCCCCCCAGAGGAGCTGGCCCAACGAAAGAAAGAAAACGATCTAGTATATAGCACCTTTCAAGATAAAACCCCCTAACCATAACCCTTCACAAGAACAAAAACGAAAAAATATATTTTTTAAATAAAAAAAAAGTGAGAAAATTGTGATTAAAAAAAGAGAGAAAATTAATAAGAAAAAGGGAAATCAGTGGATCCCGGGAAATGTGAAACTGGTAAAAAAAAAAGAGCAGAAAAAGGAGAGGGTGATGAATCTCACACCAAAGCCAGCTTGAACAGGTGACTTTTCAGCTGCTGTTAAAGGAGCCCACTGAGTCCACTGATCTCAGGTTCAGGTGGAGAGAGTTCCAGAGTCTGGGGGCCACAGCAGCTGGGAAGTTTGGGCCTCTCTGCTTAGGCTACTGCCCCCGCGACCTGACTCCAGATAAGCGAACGACAATGGATGGATGGATTTTAGATCCTACAAATCCCATACACAGCATCACCAGTGCAATACAGTTCTTGTTGGAATAATTTTGTTGCATTTTCCTTTGCAAGCTTTCTCATTTTTTCATGCATTCCAAATAACGCTCACTTCTGCCTCTATCCAAAGACTCAGCTCCCATACACAGTGTGATGCTTTAAAAAGCAGCTCGACGAACAAGAGAATAGATGAGGCGTATAATGTACATCAAAAGGTACACCTATGATTTGCAGTGCAACATCCAGAGATACTTCTTCATGTTCTGGGCACCAGTGTTCCTGGATTATACAATAAAACACACTTCATGTGCACTCACACCTTGCATGAACATCCAAGCTTCAGTTGCAGCTTTTCTCTGTTTTATTGTGTTGCTAATAAAAAATAATCAATTAGTAATTGAGAATGAACTAAAAAAACAAGGCCATAAAACAACAATGTAGAGTAAATATTGTGGTGCTCGTTAAAGAGAAAACACGGCCCGTTTCTAACTCACGTACTTGTGAAACCTCGTCAACGTTGGCCCAAGTACTGTTCCAATCCTAAGTACGCACCATGACAAGTACTGTCAAAGATGTGTTCTTGCTTCACCCATTGCATCGAGGATGCGTCGATGCATCCTCCATCCCATGATGCATTGTGTTGCAAACAGCTCTATCTAAAACAGAAAATAGCACAGGAGAAAGTCCATAACCAACCAAGAATTACATCTAAATAAACATAGGCGTCATTTTAACCGGGGACGCCGGGGACATGTCCCCGGCAAAATTTGTGATTGGCAGCTGTGTCCCCCCCACTTTCAAAAAAGCCTGCTGATGAGGATTTTTGTTTTACCAGCTCAGATCTTATACCAGGGGTCGGCAACCTGTTCCCATCAAAGAGCCATTATTACCCGTTTCCCACAGTAAAGAAAACACCGCAGTAGCCGCAGCGTTGTGGGCGGGGCCTACCCTCAGACAGCAGAGAGCTGCTCACAACCAGGTGACAGCAGCAGGTACCGGTCGCTCGCATGGGCGTCGCACCCGTGGGGGATTCAACACCCACACTTTTCCAGCTGTTTTGCTCACCTCCACACCAGTCTGGTTTCTCTACGTCACACTCACTCTGTTTGCCTCATCTCCTTCTTCACCTCCCGCTTCTGACAGCCGATGTCGGGTTTCCAGGAGAGCAGGAGAGGGAGGGACGGAAGAGCTCGACTGAATTCATAATTTTACATCTTGACATTAGCTGTACAAAGTCTGAGTTTGATAACGTGAAGAACAACAATTTGCAGAGGTTTATAACAGGCGCGGTGCCAGGTTTTCATTTTTGGGTGGGCCACGGTAATTTTGGATGGACGTTAATAAGCGGTGACTTAAGTGAAGCATGCAGGTCGCGTTAGGAAATGTCGTTTAAAAAGACGTCATAAATGTGTTCCCCTGTCATTTTTATTTATAAAATATGAAGTAAAAACTCCCAATTTAATTTTCATTCATTTGTCATTAATATGTAGTCTACACCCGTGCGTTAAGTGGACCATCTTCCAGTAAACGCAAAGCATCCAGCCCACCTCTCTAAATGCGTAAAATGTGCATCAGCTGCTAGTTAGGCGCGCCGCGCGCACCGTCAGCTACGTCAGCCCAGACAAGAGCAGAGCAACTAGAGAAAGAATAGAGGATAATTGTGTCTGGATGTGGATGGAGATTACATTTTACAGCAGCCTGATCATCATTTAAATACGTAAACCATCACCTGTCTTCTAGTCCACGCTATCAGCATTATTTTAATTGGTGTGTGTGTGTGTGTGTGTGTGTGTGTGTGTGTTTTCCACTTCAAACAGTGGTCTAACCAACCAGACCAGCGTGTCCAGTAACGTATTAATGTTACACTTCATGTAGGCTAGGAACGTTTCACCTGCCGTGGCCCGACCGCTTCTGCTCCACATAAACTTTGTGCGTGATCAAATGTCTCTACAGGAGCTTTCTGAGCTGAAGAGGCTATTCTGCCTCAGACTGGATGCGTCATGCGTCTCCATATTAGAGACGGGAACAAGCGCTGTTCAGCCAAAGTTGAATAATTTCATAAAAAGAAAATTTTTCCAAGCTCATCCATGCGCATCAGTGTGCGTCGGGGTAATTCTTTCAAAACAGCCAGCATCCTTGAGTTTATCCATCAAAATAAAAGTCTAATATAAATATCTGTAACCTGTCATTTAACTGTTTTGCCTTCCTGTGAAGATTGTTGCAAAGAGAAACAACTAAACCTGATTAACCCCAGAGCCATGCGCACTGCGCTGTACGTCGTGACTGTAAATGAGGGGGAAACGATTTAATCGGATCCTTTTCTTTTCAACATGGTTTAATGTAAAGTTTCATTCAGTACAAACTTTAGTTACACCAATCTAACGAGACAGAGCCTGGATTTGTATTCTGAACAGTTTAAACGTGTTTAAAACGGAGACATGCGTGACACGTCTAAAGTTCGCACCTGCTCCGCTATTATGGAAATTAAACTAACAAGGTGAATAACATGAAATTATTTTAGGCACAGACAACATCCCCCACACTTCTGAAAATCTTGCAACGCGCCTGGTCGCTCGTGTACGTCAAAGTACACTCTCAGAACCAGAGCGCATGTGAGAAGGTTCCTCCCACTGAAGCGAGTGTTTTCCAAACCCTGTCTCTCAGAGACTTGTCACTTAGAAAATGTTCCCTGATTATGAAACTTTGGCTGAATAGCGCTTGTTCCTGTCTCCAATGTGGCGACGCATCCAGGAACCGTCTGAGGAGAATCCCAGAATCTGACATCCTCCAGCTCAGGAAGCGCATATGATTACGCACAAGCGTGACGCGTCAACCCGGTCTCACAGTAAGACCGGGTTGGACCTGTTCAGGTTTACGCAGACAATCTTTACATTTAAAATTAGCATACAGATGTAAAATTAATGCAGTAAAATATAAAGCATTTTATTTAAATATCCATTAATTATTTTACAAGCACAGAGCATCAGATGGATGGAAGAGCCGCATGTGGCTCCAGAGCCGCCGACCCCTGTGCTAGCCTACTTTATTGTCCCCAGCAATTTTTAAACCCCACTCAAGTGTATGGTTATTGTCCCCAGCAATTCTGAAAACAAACTGACGCCCTTGTAAATAAATATATAAAGTTGTCTGTTATTTTACATGATTGTGTACAACCTGTAAAATTTGCTGTATGTGTTTGTTTATTCTGACTCTTAACGATACGCCAAAACTGAAAATTAGCGAACCCACTATCAAAAGAAATGCAACATTGTCTTTAAATAGCTCTGTTTTTATGAAAATAAATGTTTTTCTTCATTTAGCAGCAGGAATTACTGGTATTTTATCAGTTTTGATAAAAGTAGACTTAATATTATGCAAATAAAATGAAATAATAAGTATATTTAAAAGACAAACTAGACTTTTATTTTAATATCAGGCTGTTCTTTTAATCGTAGCATAAAGCAATGCTTGTTGCCAT